TCATTGTGGGCAGGAATGAGTAATGGAACACTATTTAGAGTGCTTGGACCATATAATCTCAGAGAAAAACCTCATGGTCTGCCAATTTTTTACCTATTGTTTCTCTAGTCCATTCCAGGCCCGTATTGCAAGGCCTGGAAGCATGAAAACTATAATCTAAGGCCCAGTCGCCAACTGGCATTCAGTTCTGTTTGATGAACCGATGGCATCAGTAAGGGATTAGTAGGCAGGAGATGGGATCCAAACACTGCTTTTCATCTCTTTACTTCTTACAGGCTCGCTGGCAGAAACAGGTTGCTAGGTCTCCAGAGGCCTTCAGTGATTCTTTCCAAGATACCAAATGGTGACCGATAATGGCTTGTGGAGGATATAGGTCCCCCAAATACCAGCAATTCAAGCATAGATTAAACAGTAGCAGCCATCTCCTGTAGTATAAGCAACAAGTGCAATTACATGCTATGTTAGCATCATCTGTTTTGTGTTTGAAGTTGATAATGACTTCCTGCAGCTTCTAATATTTGAGTTACCTTATCTTTCTCTGTGCTCTCCTCAGATTTCAAATAATCTAATAACCAGCTCCTCCTTCTGAAATGCAGAGCATGTTTTCTCTCATCATACCTGCTTGGTGTAGAGGATGTTCCTAGTTATCACCATAATGAATGTCAAGAGATTAACAATAAAAATTCTCCATTTTGCTTGCTTTGAATAAACTTGATATTGGGAGCACTACTTTTTGCTTCTCAAATTTTACAAATAAAAACATGTCAAGTTCGAATTTCAAAGAACTACTGCTATCTGTAAATATAATCTATGCAATACAGGACATGATAGGACAGGTCTAATATGATCTTATAGCATGAGATGTTTAATTGCAGGTTTTTAAGCGCTACATTAGTGATAGTGTCAGAATATAATCTTATATTTGAAAAGCTTTTTTTATGTTGATGGAATATTAAAAAGACCATGTTTGAGCATCTTTTTAGTTTTTTTAATATACAAAAAATGAAAATAAAGTTGAACTTTTTAAAAAATGTGTGCATCTTTTCAGTTATATGCTTTTTTCGCAGGTCAAGAGACCTACAAATAAATACAAATTAGAGAGTCAGTATGAACCAATTACAGACAATGATTGTAAGGAGATAGGGTTACTAAACTGCTACGGGAGAGTCTATGTTACCATTTTATCTATAGTTAATATTTAATTCTGACAGTTTTGTCTTGTGTAATTTTAAATCTCATTATATCCAAAATCTTTTATACTTAGACATTTTGACAGATTTATGAGGCTAATGATCCTGTTTTTTACTTATAATTAAGAAAGAAAAAAATTATTTAAGAAGACATAAATTTTATCATATTTTATAGAATATTTTGGACATATTGTAACAAAACAGAATGGAGCTTTGCCTGCCTGTCATGACAAAAGGCAAACTCATAAGGCAGATGCAAAACAAATTAAAAAGCAAAACAAAACAAAACAAAACAGGTTTATTCAAGCGCTATTTGACCTGGGAGAATGACAGATTCCCACCTCAAAGACCATCTTCCCTTTCTGGTATGGAAAAAAATCCAACAATCCTCAGCAAGGCCAAACAAAAGCCAGTGTTCCAAGTCCCTGCTCCAGCTTAAAGTACAGTCCTTAGATTCCTGCAGGCGGCTACTAGGAGGTCTTAGTCCCCATCGAGGCAGCTTAGCATGTTCCCGGCTGCTGTCCACTTCAGGCTCCCTCCTGGGGGCCTTCCTGTGGAGCCTGCATGGCCATTAGCCATGCAGCTGCTAGAGCCACATGGTCACATGCTCCTGGGCAAGAAAGCGTGTAAACACACAGGCGAGAACATCACCAGATGGGCAAGGAAGAGAGAGAGGCTCCCTCCTGTAGGCCTTGGGCCATGTGACTCTGAAGGCCACGTAGCCATGGAGAAAACAGGCAAGTGCACTATGTGAGTGCAGGTCATGAGCAAAAGAGAGAGAGAGCTCCGTTATCCCTCCGGGATTATATTAGCTTGGGTGAGGGATGGACCAGGTGTTTTATCAGAATGCAACTTCCCAAATTTTTGTGCGTTTCAGGGTCTACCTCCCAACCAATCCCTTCTTTCCCCAAGCTAGACTGACATGCCTCTTTGTTCCACACCTCACCCTGTGCCATTTTGACTTCGATGATACATGCACCTGCCTTCCCTTGGTCCCATCCCCAATCTGGTATCAGAGGAGGAGGAAGGAGTTTTTTCCTAGCCAATTATCTTGCTAGCTTTTGCACTCAGTGTAAGAACCTCGCTCTGCTGCCATCTTGAGCAATGGGGAAGACTCTCCAGACCTCTGACTGTTTTGCAGTAGCCATATGAGTCATCTATCACTTCTAAAAAATACAAAGATCATTAATGGTAAGAACAATTGGTTAGTAAACAACAACAAAGTTGTCATATATGACTGATATTTAACCAGTAAAAAACAACAACAACAACAACAACAACAACCAAAAACAATGATTCCTTGTTGGGTCCAGTTTGTTACTTGCATAGACAGGTAAACCAAGGTGAGCTAAGATGCTAACTCCCTGCCATATTTCTTCTCCTACAGAGTGGCACTGAAACAAAAGGGACCTGATGACACGACAATGAAACACACCCAGCCAGACATATATCATTGAGAAACTGATTCTGTGCTGCAGCTAAGCAGTTTTATAGCCTGCAGCTGAGACATAAGGTAGGTGAGGCAGGAAGTCTCCCTCCTCATCTGAATTTGGAGGTGATTAGAAACAGTTATGACAGCTGTCTGGGAAGAAAGGGAAGTGAGAGCAATGACCTTGCAGCAGCTCCTCACTAACCTCCTATGTTCTCATATTCTGGGAGGACTGCTGGGTGTTCTGCCAAGGCTCAAGTCAGCTTTGGTTACACCTCACCTAGATGGTCTATGTGGAGACTTGAAACATCAGCAGGATGGCACAGCAAAGCCATCCCCCTACAAAAAGTACACATAGTACCAAATAGTGTGTTCTATGATTAGAACTAAGTACACACAGGAAGATGCAACAATACATCTCGCTATGTGTAGCTCAGATTTGTTCAGTATGAGATATTCCATCCTAGGTTTTCCTCATTTTTATTTACTTGGTTATGAGGTGACTAGCATCAGTTACAACTTGTTGAAATAAATTTTTCCCCTTGTTTATGAGGGGGTGCTATTAGATGTTGAAAGAACTTCCTGGCTAAGAGATTCTCAGATCCTATTGCTCAGCTCCTATTATGCTCAGTTTCTATTGTGCTCCTGACTCTTTTGTGCACAATATTCTGTTGTGCTCAAAGAAGGGCTGGGTGATTCTATGCTGAACTGGGTTTCTAAGATTCAAAGACAATCATGAGCCAAGATAAATCCTATATATTTACAGATTTCTAAGAGATTGAATATTAAGTGGAAATGAATATGTTCTCTTCATTTGATTAATCTTCAATAAACCATAACAAGCAACTTTGTCCCTTGTCACACACACAGACACATATTTCCCCATATGTGTCTAATGTATATCGGATTTGGAGTCAATTTTATCTCACTTCTGATCTCTTCTGCTTTAAGAAAGTAGAAGTGGACTATCCTTTTCCTTAATTTTTATGAATGTGGTGTTTGTTTGAGACCACAAGTGGACAGAATGAATCTTTTCTGTGCTTTGATTCAAGGCTATTATATCCACTAAATTATGCAGTAGCATTCAGGGTTACCTCCTTAAACGTGCTATTGAGGTAAAGTTGAAGACCCTAGTCGTCTTATTATATTTTACACACTTTAAAGAAAATATACTTACTATCAAGAAGATAATGATAAAAATAGTAAAAGTAGGAGTTACCCACACATTTGATATTTTATCTATGAAATTATTACCAAGAATAGTATCATGAAGCTTTCCTATGCCCTGACCAGTGTCTCAGTGGGTCGGGCATCATCCCAAAAAGCAAAAGTTTGCCAGTTCAATTCCTGTCAGTTCTGTTCCTGGTAAGGGCACATTCAAGAGGCAACCAATCGATGTCTCTTTCTCACATTGATGTTTCTCTCCCTTCCCCTCTCTCTAGAAACAAATAAAATTTTTTTAATAAAAGAATAATATTATGAAACTTTCTTCCTATAGTTTGAACTAGTTTCACAATTTAACTCTTATGTTTAAGTCTTTAATCCATTTTAGTTAATTTTTGTGTATGGTGAAAAATAAGGATCCAATTGACCAAATGGGAATTATTGCTGTGGAGCAAGGATGATTCAGCACACAGAAATCAATAAATACAATATACTTTATTAACAGAATGAAGGATAAAAATTATGATCATCTCAATAGTAGTATAAAAAGTATTGGACAAAATACAATGCCCTTTACAATAAAAACACTCAACAAATTATTTTTAGAAGGAATGCATATCTACATAATAAAGGTTACATATGATAAACACACAACTAGCATCATACTCAAGAGTGAAAAACTGAAAGTTGTTTTTTTATTTTCTAAGATGACCACTCTTGCCACTTGCCTTCATAAGTATACTGGAAGTTCTGTCTAGAGCCATTAGGTAAGGAAGATAAATAAAAGGCATAAAAATTAAAATGAAAGAAGTAAAATTATCTTTGTTTCCAGGTGAAATAACTATATATGTTCCCCCAAACCTGTTATAACTAGTAAAAAATCTCAGTAAAGTTTTGTGATACAAAATTAGCACACAGAATTCAGTTGTGTTTCTATACATTAACAACGAATTGAAAAAGAAATTAAGAAAACAATCCCACTTAAAATATCATCAAAATAATAAAATACTTAGGAATAAATTTAACCAAGAAGCTGAAATACTTGTACACTGAAAATTATAATACATCGATGAAAAATTAAAGACACAAATTAGTAAATATACATGTCATATTTGTGAATTGGATGGCTTAACATTATTAAAATGCCTGTGCTACACAAAGGGATCTACAGATTTAATTCTATCCATCAAAATTCCAATGACATTATTTTTCCCTGGGCCCATTGCATCCCTCAAGGAAAGAGTGGCCACCGTGATGTCAACCTGAGGTCCTAAGGAGATCTAATGACATTTTTACAGAAACAAATAAAACAATTCTAAAGTTCATGTAGAATAACAAAAAACCCAGAACAGCCAAAGGAAACTTAAGAAAGCAAAACAAAGTTGTAGGCATTATATTTCCTGATTTTAAAATACATTACAGAGCTATAGTATTTTAAACAGTATGTTACTTGCATAAAGATAGACATATAACCCAATGGAAGAGAATAGAGCCAGAAATAAACTCATGGTTATACAGGCTACTGATTTTTGACAAGAGATCCAAGAAAACACAATGGGGAAATGACAGTTTCTTCACAAATAACATTGTGAATACTGGATATCTGTACTATTTTTTTATTTTTTTCCCAACACTTTATTTATTGTTATTGTTCAAGTACAGTTGTCTCCATGCTCCCCAGCCCTGTCGACCCACCCATGCCTCCCACCCTCGATCCCACTCCCTTTGGTTTGCCTATGTGTCCTTTATAAATGTTCTTTAATGACGTTTCCCCTCTTTTCCCCATTATCCCTCTCCTGTTTCCCCTCTGGTTATTGTCAGTTTGTTATTTATTTCAGTGTCTCTGGTTATATTTTGCTCAGTTGTTTGTTTTGCTGATTAGGTTCCACTTGTAGGTGAGATCAGACGGTATTTGTCTTTTACCACCTGGTTTATTTCATTTAGCATAATGCTTTCCAGATCTATCCATGCTGTAGCGAAGGGTAGGAGCTCCTTTCTTTCTACTGTGTAGCACTCCGTTGTGTAAATGTACCATAGTTTTTTGATCCACTCATTTACTGATGGGCACTTACGTTTCTTCCAATACTTGACTATTGTAAATTGTGCTGCTATGAACCTTGGGTTGCATAAATTCTTTTGAATTGATGTTTCAGGATTCTTAGGGTATAATCCCAGCAGTGGGGGTTGCCATGTCAGAAGGCAGTTCCATTTTTAGTTTTCTGAGGAAATCCCATACTGTTTTCCACAGTGGCTGTACCAGTCTGCATTCCTACCAACAGTGTACTAAGTTTCCCTTTTCTCCACATCCTCGTCAGCACTTGTAGTTTGTTGATTTGTTTATGATGGCCATTCTGACTGGTGTGAAGCGGTATCTCATTGCAGTTTTCATTTGCACCTCTCTAATGGCTAGTGATGCTGAGCATACTTTCATATGTCTCTGGGCCCTGTGTATATCCTCCTTGGAGAAGTGTCTGTTCAGGTCCTTTGCCTATTTTTTAATTGGGTTGTTTGTCTCCCTGGAGTGGAGTTGTGTGAGTTCTTAATATATTTTGGAGATCAAACCCTTCTCCAAGGTATTATTTTCAAATATATTTGCCCATAAATTTGGTTCCCTTTTCATTTTACTGATTGTTTTTTAGTGGTGCAGAAGCTTTTTATTTTGTTGAGGTCCCATTTGTTTATTCTTTCCTTTATGTCCCTTGCTCTAAGGTAAAAATATAGCTGCACAGAATATATGAGATTTTTCTGCCTATGTTCTCCTCTAGGACTTTTATGATGTGACTTATATTTAAGTCTTTTATCCACCTTGAGTTTATTTTTATGTCTGAATTTTGTTGTCTAGTTTCATTTTTTTTGCTTGTATTTGTCCAGATCTCCCAACACCATTTATTGAGTCAAGGCTTTTTGAGAATCATTGTTTATAATGACAGATTATTAAATCTGAACTTGACAAAGAAAAAAGCATTCTAAAAAATGGTAAAAAATTGAAAGAGAAAGCTAATAAGAGTTCTTGATAAAATCAATATATTGTTGAATAAGAGAATGTATGCAAGTGAGCTATAACCTGGAGCAATTGCAATGAGAATGCTTACTCGTTAAATTTATGAATTCAAATTGGTGCCATTTTTTATAACACAGATTAGATCCTGTGTGGTGGAGATTGACATTGTAAAGAGAAAGTGGTCATTGTACATGAGGGGTTCTAAGAAATAATAAATGGATTCATCTTATTAAACAGGCTAAAAACCATTTGGGGTGTTGCCAATTTTCTGCGTGTCAAATGGCATAAAGTTAGTATACTGGTCCTGTACATTGAGACCACATAAAATATATGATGGTTAAAAATAGTTTGTCACCTGCAACCCAATGTGTGGAAATATGACAATTTGTAGGCATTATTAATTAATGTTACAAGATAGGAAGAACACAGTTTTTATAGATTGATGTATGTCCAATAATTTAACTGCGTTAACCAATGAAGTAGTTAATTAACTTAATAGTACATATAATAATTCTATTGTTATTACATTATATATTTTATAAGACATTTGATTTGGCTTTTCTCAAAACAAAGTTCAAAAATGAATTTGTGAATATGTAATAATTTCCTTTATTAAAATAAGGTAATTTAAATAGGCATTTAAATATACATACATTAGGATCCCCAGTAGTTGCCTCAAATCACAGATATTGTGTAACTTTGTATCAACTATGGTTTTTCCTAAACACACATATTTTTACTCTTAAAGGAAACACTTTACAGATTCTTTTTGGCATATCCAAATTGCCAGCATCACTACTCTTGTGGTTTTGGGCCATTATTAAATAAAATAAGGATTACTTGAACAAAAACCCTGCTATACCAAGACAGTCAATCTGATGGCTGAGGGGCAGCAATGCAGCATGGATACACTAGATAAAGGGATGATTTACACCCTGGATAGAACGAATTGGATGGTACTTTTGCCCACCCTGTATTTTGGTTCCAGCTAGTGAGGACTTTGACCTCCAGAGGGCACTTGGCAATGTCTAAAGACATGCTTGGCTGTCATAACTTGGGGATCTGCCACTGGTATCTAGTGGGTAGAGGCTACAAACATTGTTAAACATTCTACAATGAGCAGACCAGTTCCCACAGTAAAAAATTATCTGGTCCCACATGTCAGTTGTGTTAAAGTTGAGAAGCCCCTCTTTCCAGGAATAAATTCTAGGATGAGAATACTGCTGAAAGACTGAAAATACATTTAAAACACAGCATCAATTGCCTTATTGTAAATAAAAGTTAAAAATGAATATCTTGAGTTTTTTTTTAATTGGTCTACAATGTATTCATTTTTTTCATTACACTTTGGTAATACAACATTCTTGACATGTGTTTATTGGACAATAAAACAATTTAAATGTATATTATTTTCCACTAATAACATTGCTATTAATTCAACCAGAATTAAATAATAAATCATTTCTCTTAGTACATTGTAATGCTAAGTATCAACATATGACGTGTTTATTCAAAGAATACATGTAAATATTTAAAACAGGTAGTAACTGTTTTACTCATAAATATTTGGTCAGAATTGAAGAATGGCAAAAAAATTACATGTGTAAGAGTGATTCTCTATTTTGCTAGCTTCTATCCACATTAATCATAGTAATTTAATAAAATAATTAAAATTAAATTTAAAAAAAATTTGTGTCTCAAATACACAAATAATAATACTTAGTAATATCTTAAGTAGTCAATAATCAGATGTGGCTAATGTCTGCTGCATTGGACAGAAAAAACAGAAAAAATTTCTTTCAGTTTATAAAATTGTATTAGATAGCACTGATACGTATTAAGCACCTATGCATATAATCAAGGAACAACATGTATTATTCTTGAATTATTTGCAATTTTTTCCAAATTCTGTTTGCTGTGGTTGTATTTAGACATAATTTTATCCTTTTCCCAATGAATAATAAAGTTTGAAATTGTAAATTATAGTATATATTTTCATTTTATTTTTCCTGGTAATTCCTTTTTTTATATTTCAAAACAGTGTAAGTTTGCAGTGAATTGAAAACTAAAAAGAAAGGGAAGAAGAAAGATGGGAAAGAATGAAGGAAGAAGAAAAGGAAGGAAGGAAGGAAGGAAGGAAGGAAGGAAGGAAGGAAGGAAAGAAGGAAGGAAGGAAGGAAGGAAATGAGAAAGGAAATCCAGATCTAGTCTTTCACTATAGACTGAGAAAAGAGAAGCAGTAGCTATGAAGATTCTGGGCCCTCAATGGATGATTGTAGATAGATATTCATAAATAAATCTGTACCATGGGAGAAATGAGCTCCTAAAAAACAGAAACAAGGTGTTATATCTAATTCTTAGTGTTCATTTTTGTTAAATATAATAGATACTTGATTGCACTAAATTGTATCCCCAGTTTTTCTTTCCATACTTTCAGGTCCCTTTGTAGCCATCAACTTGCCATGAGTAGGCATCACCATAATGGCTTTTTCATTAATCAATAAACTACATATTTTATGTTACACACAGAAAATCTCCATCAAATTATGGTTAACTCATATTCTCCAGGTCATAAAACTTAGATACATACTGTCCTGCTTATATTAAAATGAGGAATATATGAGCATCAGGCTGACATTTTATAGGAGTTTATTACGTATGTCTCCTTGAAGTGCAGATATTCATTGCTGTTTTACACAAATGTGTTGCTCTCTCTGGCGGAAGACGAAAACTCCTGTTTGGGGATCTGAGAGTTATTCAGACGTAGAAGGAAGGTGGGGCTTTTTTTTACTACTCAGATGATGAGAAGTCAATACTTGCTGCTCTGTGTATGCAGGGCACCTTTGGCATTAGACTACCAAATCATCTGTTATAGCTAACATTCATGCATTTCAGAGAAAATAAATTATAGACAATAAAATGGACATACATATGTTATAGAGTATAGATATAGAACTTTGGTTTTTGTTTTATACTTTGCTGAATCTCAACAACTTATATCTCCTTATACCACAGGGAAGTTACAGATGTAAAAATGTGAAAGTGTGAAAGGATATTCTCTATTCTTCTTGTAGTTTCTTAAACAATATGTGTGCATTTTGTTCAAATATGCTGATTGATTTTTCTGTTTGATTTATATCGATTGATTATAGAAACATGTTGATGAGCTCACCAGTCACACTACAAAACTTTCCAAATAACTTTGGGGGAAGAAAACAAAGCATAGTGGGTAAATGTTTAGATCACTTAATGGGGGCAATTAGATGAAATTATCCTGTGCTTTTGCTTTTTTAACATGATGAATGCATATTGAAATTCTACTTG